ACTTGTAAAGCTGTGCAGGTAGTTTAGAAATGAAGTTCCACGAGTCTCCTGGAATTCTTTCACAATGGCTATCACAGACCACCTGGAATTTTTGACCAGTACTGGCAAGGGTCTCACAATTTCTAAGCAAACATTCAGCCCCGCTACTCCTCAGAGGGTGCTCCTCCCCTGAGCTGCTCCCCCAGCAGAGAAGGTCTGATCTGAAGAGCGAACAGAGCCGGAAAGCTATGCGGTCTGACCCCTTGGGCGTGTGGCCAGTGTGAACGACCTAGCTTGGACGTGACAGCCCCTGCACCTGGACGTGGGTGTTTCTGCTCTCATCTTAGGCAACGGGAGACAGGGCTGCTGGTGAAGTTTTCAGCAAAGGCTGTAGAAACCTGCTTCACTTGGACTGTGTTCAGACATCACACTGATAGAGAAAGGAAGGTGCTGAAATGGAACTACAGAATTTTTCCTCTTTCAGCAAATATTTATTGAACGACTACTATTTTTGAGCCAGGCCCTTCACTAAAACAGAAATAAAATAGCCGAAGACTCTGCCATTTGTGGAGCTGAGGTTTTAGAAGCAGGAGACACACAATAAACAGTAAATGGGAAAACAAAATCAGTAAATGGACTTGATTGCACTTGTGGGCTGGGGTGGAGGGTGCAAAGCCCACTTGTTAAATGGGTGGAGCCCTGAATCAGTAAATGAGGGGAGGGGGCCTCAAACCAGCATTTTCTACTCTGAATCCTTTCAAGTACTTCTTGTTCCAGGCACACTCTGCCCTGGGGCAGTTTCTTCACTCCTCCAACTTTTCTAGCAGCTGACCTATGCCTCACACCTTACTCATCTTTTCACTGAGAAAGGGCTTTCTTAAGAATATAGACTTTGGAAAGTCCCTTTCTTCACCCCTCCCTTTTTTGTGTTTAACTGAGATCAAATTTACATAAGATTACCCACTTGAAAGTGGGCAATTCAGTGGTATTCAGTATACTTACAGTGTTGTGCAACCACCACCTTTCTCTAATTTCAAAACTTTTCATCATTCCCAAAGAAAACCCCGTATCCACTGAGGATCACTTCCCACTGTCCCCTCTCTCCAGCCCCTGGAAACCACCAATCTGCTTTCTGTCTCTAGGGGTTTAACTCTTCTGGACATTTTATACAAATGGAATCCTATCATATGTGGTCTTTTATGGCTGGCTTCTTCCATGAAACTGCATCTTTTAGCACTAAAAACTTTCAAGTTCAGCTGCAGATTTTAATTCTGCACAGTCAGAAAACGACAGGTAATGGAAGCCAGTTTGTGTCTGATAGTAGCAATCAAAGGCTTTTCTGGTTTCTTCAGCTTCAGAAGGTGACATATACAATGCTTATCAGACTTTCATTTCCTTGGATGAGTTTGCTTTGGATGAAGATCCAGAATTTGGACGACGGCAGTAATAGTTTTGATAGGTCACCTCATCCCTTGCCTCAATCTCTGCCCTTCATGTCAGTAAGAGCCAGTGTTTCCTATTGGTGGGGATGCAAACTGGTGTAGCCACCATGGAGCGCAGCATGGAAGTTCCTTTAAAAATTATAAATAGAGTTGCCATATGATCCAGCAATCCCAATCCTGGGCATATATCCAGAAGGAGTTCTAATTCGAGAAGATGCGTGCACCTCAATGTTCACAGCAGCACTACTGACCATAGCCAAGACATGGGAGCAGCCTGAGGGTCCATCGACAGATGACTGGATAAAGATGATGTGGTATATATACACAATAGAACACTCAGCCATAAAAAAGAATGAAATATGCCATTTGCAACAACATGGGTGGACCTAGAGATGATCATACTAAGCGAAGTAAGTCAAAAAAAGAAAGACAAACACCCTATATCACTCACATGTAGAATCTAAAATATGGCACAGATGAATTTATTTATAAAACAGAAACAGACTCACAGACATAGCAAACAAATTTATGGTTACCAAAGGGGAAAGAGGATGTGGGGGGAATCCATTAGGAGTTTAGGATTAGCAGATACAAACCACTATATATAAAGTAGATAAACATCAAGGTCCTACTGTATAGCACAGGGAACTATACTCAATATCCTGTAATAAACCATAATGGAAAAGAACATGAAAAGAATATATATTATATGTATAACTGAATCACTATGCTGTACATCAGAAACTAACACAATATTGTAAATCAGCTATACTTCTATTTAAAAAAAAAAAGAGCAAGTGTTTCAACAGGGAAGTTTGCTGAGATAGTTTCCTGCAGGGGGTGAGGATGGAGGGTCACAGACGTGGAGAGGTTTGAGATATTCCTACTCTTCCATTTACAGCGTATTATCACCAGTCCATGCAAGAACACCTTTAAATTTTATTGTCATCAATGCATTCTACTCCCAGACTTTGAGGTAGGTTATTATTATTATTATTACCTCCATTTTAAGGATGAAGAAACTGAGACTCCAAGAAGATGAGACTCCAAGAAGATAAAGCTTTGTACAAATTCATACACCTTTCTGCTGACAATTCAGATTGAGCTTTTGTACTTTAGAGAGAGTTCTAAAATAATGAGCAGTGCCATTTGCACGAAATCTTAGTCTTATGCTCATTGGAAACCTAATGAACATTAAGTGAAAACCAACATGGGTCTGACATAAGATTTAAAGTTAGATGAGGGAGTGCCTGCCCCTACCTAGAGAAGGCTCTCAGCTGACACTCAGCAAAGATGACCAGACCAGGGTCAATTCAGGGAGGCATCTTCTATCCTCATACCGCTTTTCACAAACTGTGTGTGTGTGTGTGTGGGCGGGGGGTGGGGGAGAACTCTCTATTCTGTTTCAAGTTTACAAAATTCAGTAGTTCCTAATAAGCGCTATAGTGGCATTTTTTGTTTCCACGTGATGCTTCATAATTGCACTTGACAAAACGAGGTGGGAGCTAACTAGCTTGAGAAGCGCCCACATGTACACACACAGAGCTTTAATACCACACTTTGTTAACTCAAGAAATCGGCACTGAATATCTATCCAACTCTATCTGTGGCACTCAGTTAAATGCTAGGGACATAGCAGCAAGTAGTTAGACACTGCTCTCACTTCATGGAGTTTATCTACTTCCCTGAGTTTATCTCATGGTGGGAATATATAGCAGAAAACATCTATAGCAATTAACTAAATCATTTCTTCTCCAGTAAGGGGTATCAAGAAAAAGTAGAGGTGCTATGAACTGGTATAACCAGGAAACTTAATCTAGACTGGATTAGGGGTGGAAGACCAGGGAAGGGCTTCTCAAGGAAGTGACATCAAACTGTGTATCCTTCCAAATCTAAACGTATCTCTATTTAGATATGAACAGATATTCATGAACAATTAAAACTGATTATCTCTAGCCAGTGATGAACATTTGAATTATGTGGGCTTATTCTTTTAGACATCTATAAAACAAAAGTTATTTTTAAGCCATTTCCCATGCAGATAGGTACATACACATTTGTTGAAAGTTATATTTAAGCACAAGCAACTCAAACCTATAGCTGGGTTAAACTCTGCTCATTTTGTATCTTTGACTTTGTAACTTTTACTAAATAAGGTGCTATTTGATATTCATAGAGGAAATTAGGAAATTTCAGATGTTTTATTTTTCCAAGAATTGGACTACAAGATAGTTATTACAAACTCAAATACTGACAGTGTCTGCTGGACCCTAACTGAAGCCATCACACCGGCTAATCTTCCCAGAGCACCAGGCCGTTAGCCTCCTTTAGGACCCTCTCTCTCAGGTCGGAGCACCTTTGCCGTGTTCATACAAGAAGGAAGTTACTGGGCAGAGTTTCTAGTACTTGGGAGCTTGCAGTCTTGTGGGAAAGACAAGCCAACCACATCCAACCACAGCCAAATACATTCTGAGTGCACGTGGGCTGCATTCTTTTATTCCTGAGAATAACCTGGAACGTTAGGCAGGACATTTTGATTGTGGTCATTTAACCACTGTGGCACTGAGTGTTCATGAATCACCCAGCAGGGGAAGTTTAAATTGGAGAGGACTGTTCTCGTGTGCAGAGGAGCAGTGCCCACATCTGAATTCCTAACGTGCTTCCCCACGAGTGACTTCCAGTGAAGGCTCCCTGAGAAATACTGACCCAGAGGACGCATACATGGGCTTCCAGGAGCCTTGAATCCTTGAAAACTACGTATTAAATTAAGCTTACCTGTAAGTTTGTCTTGGAAACAGCCCATCCTGTCCATCAGCCTCTCTAAAATCCGTGTTGAAAACAGGTTCCACATTATCTCCTTGAGGAGAATTTACAGCTGTGCGCTTCTCAAGGGCCAGGTCCCACCCGGGCACTTCAGACATCGCTTCTTCCAACAAAAACCTGCGGACTAAGTATTTTACAAATGACAAAACTGAGGTTCAGAGAAGTTAAATATCCCCTCTACCTGATCAGCACCCCCATAACATTCCCCCATTTAAAGCGTACAGTTCAATGGTTTTTAGTGTATTCACGGAATTGTGCAGACATCACCATAGTCTAAATTTAGAACATTTTTATCACCTCTTGCAAAAACCCTATACCTGTTAACAGTGAGTCCTCATTTCCCCAGCCCCAGCCCTAGGTAACCGCTACTCTATTTTCTGTCTCTATATTCGAGACATCAGGTATCAGTGGAATCACACAGTATGTTGCTTTTTGTGACTCGTTTTTTTCACTTAGCATAAGGTTCATCCATGTTATACTACGTATCTGTACTTCATTCCTTTTTATGGGTGAATAATAGTCCACTGTATAGATGTATCACGTTTTATTTATCAGTTGATGGATATTTGACTTGTTTACACTTCTTGGCTATTATGAACAATGCTGGTTATGAGCATGAGTGTACTAGTTTTTTGTGTAGACATGTTGTCATTTCTCTTAGGTATATACCTAGGAGTAGGAGGAATTGCTGGACCACATGGTAACTCTATGTTTTACATCTTAATGAACTAACAAAATTTTCTGCAAAGTGGCTGCACTACTTTACATTCCCAGCAGCAATGAATGCGGATTCCAATTTCTCCACATTCTCATCAACACTTGCTACTGTCTTTTTGATTATTGCCATCCTATGTGGATGTGAAGTAATAGCTCACTGTGGTTTTGATTTGCAACTCCCTAATGACTAATGATGTTGAAAGTCTGCTTATCCCCATCGTTCTGCTGCATGAGTCCACCTAGTAACTTGCACTGAGTATGTCAACCCAGCCTTGACTGACCACCTGCACTCTCGATGTGTCTGGTTCTGATCACCATTTCTGGGTGTAGACAGAACACCGCACATCAGGGTGTAGGGTCCAA